GATACCCAGAGAGATCGGCAAGCTGCAGAACCTGGTGTTCCTGGACCTGTACTCGAACAGGTTCACAGGCTCGCTGCCCGCTGAGCTCGCCAACATCACGGTGCTGGAGCTGCTGGACGTGCACAACAACAGCTTCACTGGTGGCATCCCGCCGCAGTTTGGGGAGCTCATGAACCTGGAGCAGCTCGACCTGAGCATGAACAAGCTCACCGGCGAGATACCGGCGAGCTTTGGCAACTTCAGCTACCTTAACAAGCTGATCCTCAGCGTCAACAATCTGTCCGGGCCATTGCCCAAGTCGATTCGGAACCTTCAGAAGCTGACAATGCTGGACCTCAGCAACAACAGCTTCTCTGGCCCGATACCGCCGGAGATCGGTGCGCTGTCGAGCCTGGGCATCAGCCTCGACCTGAGCTCGAACAGGTTCGTCGGCGAGCTGCCGGACGAGATGTCCGGTCTGACGCAGCTGCAGTCACTCAACCTCGCTAGCAACGGCCTCTACGGCAGCATCTCGGTCCTGGGTGAGCTCACCAGCCTGACATCCCTCAACATCTCGTACAACAACTTCTCTGGCGCCATCCCAGTGACGCCGTTCTTCAAGACATTGTCGTCCAACTCCTATATTGGCAATGCCAACCTCTGTGAGTCCTACGATGGCCACTCCTGTGCGGCGGACATGGTTCGCAGGTCCGCCCTGAAGACGGTCAAGACGGTGATTCTCGTCTGTGGCGTTCTGGGGTCAGTCACGCTGCTGCTTGTTGTGGTTTGGATTCTGATCAACAGGAGCAGGAAGCTGGCCAGCCAGAAGGCGATGAGCTTGTCAGGTGCTGGCAGTGATGATTTCTCCAACCCCTGGACGTTTACGCCATTCCAGAAGCTCAACTTCAGCATTGACAACATCTTGGCATGCCTAAGGGATGAGAACGTGATCGGCAAAGGTTGCTCGGGGGTGGTATACAGAGCTGAGATGCCAAACGGGGACATCATCGCAGTGAAGAAGCTATGGAAGGCCGGCAAGGACGAGCCGATTGACGTCTTTGCAGCTGAGATTCAGATTTTGGGGCACATCAGGCACCGGAACATCGTGAAGCTACTTGGGTACTGCTCTAACAAGTCTGTCAAGCTTCTGCTTTACAACTACATCCCCAATGGCAACCTCCTGCAGCTCCTCAAGGAGAACAGGAGTCTGGACTGGGACACGAGGTACAAGATTGCCGTTGGAACAGCGCAGGGGCTGGCTTACCTGCACCATGACTGCGTTCCCGCGATACTCCACAGGGATGTCAAGTGCAACAATATACTGCTCGATTCCAAGTATGAGGCCTACTTGGCTGATTTTGGGCTGGCCAAGCTGATGAACTCCCCCAATTATCATCACGCCATGTCGCGCATTGCCGGTTCTTATGGATACATTGCTCCAGGTAATAAGCTAATCTTTTTGCTGTTATTATTAATCAACATTTTGCTGTTCTTATTTCTTCAGCAATTAGACGGTAGTAGTGTAGAAGAGCAGCAACCCCAATTAATGTCACAGCTCAGTAGTTCTTTGGTAATGCTGCTGCTAAGCGAGAATCTTTGACCTGTGGTTGCTTCTAGCAACCTTAACCTCGTTCTTCATCAGTTGCTTGTTGCTTAAGCTGGTAACATACCACTAGTTCCTCACATCACAAGTACCCCTTTTGTCGATTGGAATATGTTGGCTTGGTATTGTTTCTATAGTTTCTTAACGCATTATAATAATGTTACATTGCTTGATCATAGATATGACTGGATGATCATTTTCAAAAGAATCAATGTTAACATATATCTGTGATGTATTTCAGAGTACGCGTACACGAGCAACATCACGGAGAAGTGCGACGTGTACAGCTACGGCGTTGTGCTGCTGGAGATCCTGAGCGGGCGGAGCGCGATCGAGCCGGTGGTCGGTGAGACCAGCCTGCACATCGTGGAGTGGGCGAAGAAGAAGATGGGCAGCTACGAGCCGGCGGTGAACATCCTGGACCCGAAGCTGCGGGGAATGCCGGACCAGCTGGTGCAGGAGATGCTGCAGACGCTGGGCGTGGCCATGTTCTGCGCGAACGCGGCGCCGGCAGAGCGGCCGACGATGAAGGAGGTGGTGGCGCTGCTCAAGGAGGTGAAGAGCCCGCCCGAGGAGTGGGCCAAGACCTCGCAGCAGCCGCTCATCAAGCCCGGCAGCCAGCAAGGGTGACCGTACCGGAACGGCATTGGACCGGTTTCTCTTTTGGATGATTTCGCATCGTTGGTGGAGCAAGAGGCTCGAGAATTCGTTGTAGGGACGCAGATTGCAGCAGGTCGAAGATGAAAAGAAGGGAAGCGGAGTAGGTTTTTGATAATTCAGGGGCTACCTTAGCTTTGGTTAGGCGATTCTTGTACAGTTCAGGATGGTCTCGCAGCCCGTTTTAGAGGAACTTGATGGATGAAATTTTTTCTTTCAATACATGAGCCGTGCGTTCGCTTTGCATCTTCTGGTAGATGCAAAATGCTGCTCACTACGATCTGTCAACCTACAGCTGTCTTACCCACAAATTGAATTTAAATTTTATTAGTAGTACTTTCAATTTTAGCTCGGTCAAAATCTATCTGTATTCGTGCGAACAGGTTTGATGAGCAGCTAGCTGCGCCGTCCTCAATAGAAATAGTCAGCTGATGACTATCGGCGTTTTCCTTGTAGATTTTTCTGGCTGCAGCTGCTGCTGTAAGAAGACAACTGCTCTCTACTATAGCTGGCATAAGCCGGTTACGGGCTAGAAGCGGGTAGGGTTGGGCCCAGACGAGGTCCACGTAGAAATATATATATAATAACAAATAAAATGCTCAATTAATTATGTGTTTGCATTATGATTCGTGCCATTTTTTTTAAGAAAGGAGTATCGGAGCAAATCCCGTTTGGACTTTGTTCGTTTGCAGGGAATGGATCCCCAGCCGATCGGTCTCTTTGATAATTTGTACTAATTTGGAATTGTTTCTGGCCTAGTAATGGCCTAACCGAACGGCGCCTTATTCGGATTTGGAAAGGCATAAGCTTGTTCGGTTGGCTGATTCGTTTTGTTCCTGGTTCGTGAAGAAGTACTGCTGGTTGGTTTATGTGAGAGAAAAATACTGTTCCGGCTGGAAATTTACGATCGTTTACGACAAGCCACGGCCAAACGAATAAGCTGCAGAGGATTTGGAAATGCATAGCTGCAGCCAAGCAAAATTACAGCGTGGATCATGTTTGCTCTTGCACAACATGTTTGGTTCATAACTTCAAAAGGTTGTCTGATCCAGGCAGGCTTTCCATCAGAGTTCCCACATGTCTGATTCTATGGCACATCACCAATTCGTGTACGACTGCAACACTATCCATGAAGGGCAAACTACAGGAACAGGAGCACCAACACAAAAACCATTGATTTGTGGTAGTAACACAAAGCACATTCTTGCATAACATTTAGGGTCCAAAATACTCATTTCAAAACTAGATAAACATAAAATGGGAAAGACGAATATTCCAAATGGTCATAAGTGTCTTATGGGTGGAGTTGTTAGGGGATGAACACGCGAAGCCTGAGGCCATGGGTTTGAGCGCCGGTGGCCGTGTGTGGCTGCTTAGTATGGTCTCCCGGTAAAGCGTGAAAAATCATGTGACTTGTAACTTATGACTTTGCGCGTGTGTGGTTGTCCAGTGTGGTCTCCCGGTAAAAGCGTGAAAATCACTTAGACTTGTAACTTGTGACTTGCACGCACGAGTGGCCCGTTGTGGTCTCTCGGTATTAAAAAAATGTTTGCTATTTTTCAGACCGAAATTGATTTTCTGAAAACATCATCAGCCGGCAGTGATGCCCCCCTCGTCAATGCCACTTTATTCCTACTGCTGATTCAAAAAACCTACAGTGATTGGGTTTTTGAATTGGCAGTGAAGAGCTATTTTAGGCTAGTGTATATAAATGATTTCACTGGTGTTAGAATTTAGGAGGACTTAATAATTAACACCAGTTCATAGATTAAAATACCTAGACCACAAGGGATCACATTCAATAGCCGACGTTACTCCATTAGTAAGAATGTAATTATGGCATATGTGCCGGTCAAACTAATTCAAACTTGACCAAGTTTATAGTAAATAGTATTAGCGTTTATGTCTTCAAATAAATTTATTATAAAAATATATTCTATAGCGAATTTAATGGTATTTATTTTGTATCATGAATGTTACTACTTTTTTATATAAATTTAGTCAAAGTTTATACCGTTTGACTTTAAAAAACGAGAATTGCATTCTTTTGTGGATGGAGAAAATAACTCACAGAGACGTGTTATGCAAGACTCGTATATTCATCGAATAAACATGCATTGCAATTTTAAACTCGTCAACATGATTGCATACGAGTGTTACATTGACCGTATGAACAAAAAAACAGGATTGCGCAAAATTTTGCCTTCTGACGTGCACGGAAGAGAGACAGGCCAGCTATGGTCTCAACGAGGTGTATAGATATATTGATATTGATATTGATATTGATATTGATATTGATATAGATATAGATATAAATCATCCATGTATATAGACTAATATTAGAGATACATGTAGATTCGTAACGGGACAAATACGTGATCACTCTCGTGTCCTACCGAACAAGCCTGCGGCCTGTGCTCCTGCTGCTATACACAGCCCACGACGCTGTACACCTTGCCTGTGCTACGACTCGTGTTCACTGCCTCCGTCACTGCGAACCGGGCCCCGCTCCCTCCATGTCGTTTCCGAGTCCTGATCACACCCGCCTCGCCGGCGCTGCACCCTGCGCGCTACGGTGGAAACCCTATAAAACTGTAACCGATCGAGTAAAACATGAAAATCAAAAGAAAAAACAAAATAAAAATAATCTGAGGCAAAGGGGGGCAGCCTAGGAGAGACTAAGACGCCGACGAGGGATCGCAGGGGATCGGCGCGCCCGCAGGCTGCAACCGCCGAGAACCTTATTTGGCCGCTCATCACAATGGCGAGCCCGTCCACGACGCCCCGGTCTACGATCGCGGCGGAGACAGTCCCCGTAGCGGAGGGGACACCGGCGGCGGTGCTGCCGCCGCTCGGCTCAATTGCGTCCTTGTACGTGGGCGACCTGGCTGCGAGCGTGGACGAGACGCAGCTCCACGCGGTCTTCAGCCAGGTCGCGCCGCTCACAAGCGTGCGCGTCTGCCGGGACATCGTCAGCGGCGTCTCGCTTGGCTACGGCTACGTCAATTTCTACTCACGCCAGGAAGGTACGTATGTGCTCGCCTCTAGTTAGTTCCTATTATCAATGTATAGATCCTAATCTTCTTAGGGTTAGTTTTGATCGTGCGTTATGATATATATCATAATATACAGTGTGTGTTTTCTCAAGAATACGTTTCCTTTTGTTCTTTCTGAATTTATGTTGTCATATTAAATTTGGAGGGGTTGAGGTGGTCAGGGTTTATGTCGCAATGAATCTTAATTATCTAATTATTAAAAAGTTTGTGATGGAATTAGAGGTTCGGTGATGGATCTTGTGGTTTTAGGTTTGATCTGGTATATACATCCAATGATTTTACCTCCGTTTGCTTTAAAGACTATGCCTTGTATAATTAGAAAATTCTAAAATCTCGTTTTCATGATTTGCATACTGCTCACACTACACAAATTGCTGCTTATTAATTAGAGCTTTGTGTTGCTGTCAGCGATTTATGCTAGAATGAATTATATACTCTCTTTTTGGTGGAGAAAATGTTTAGCTTTGAATATGAATTATATGATATATTATTCAATTATGACGTAAAAGCATAGAATGATATTGACCAATATATCCATAAATAAAGTTTATTATAACTTGGATTATGATTACTTGCAGCTACTCGTGCACTAGAAGCTTTAAATTTTACCCCATTGAGTGGAAAGTATATCCGGGTTATGTTCTCTAACCGGGATCCAAGCCTGCGTAAAAGTGGACGTGCTAACTTGTTTGTAAAAAACCTTGAGCCTAACATTGATAGCAAGAATCTGTATGAGATCTTCTCCTCCTTCGGCACCATATTATCATGCAAGGTGGCCACTGATTCAGCTGGTCAGTCAAAAGGGTATGGTTTTGTACAATATGAGACTGAGGAATCTGCTCAAGATGCAATTAACCGACTTAATGGTATGCTAGCAAATGACAGAGAAATGTTTGTGGGCCTACACATGCGCCGACGGAACAGAGAAGTCAAGTTCACAAATGTATATATAAAGAACTTGCCCACTGAATTCAATGATGATGATCTTCGCCAGGAGTTTGCACCATTTGGTGAAATTACTAGTGCTGTGGTCATGAGGGATGTTAATGGTGTCTCTAAATGTTTCGGTTTTGTAAATTTTGAAAAACCAGAATGTGCTATAGAAGCAATTAAGAAGGCCAATGGAAAGGTAATCAATGATAAGACCTTATATGTTGGAAGGGCTCAAAAAAAGGCAGAAAGACAAGCCGAGCTGAAAACAAAATTTGAACAAGCAGGCAGAGATAAGAAAGTTGACAAGCCTAATGGTATTAATTTGTACTTGAAGAACATTGATGATAGTATAAATGACGAAGGGTTAAAAAAATTATTTGAAGAATTTGGTCAAGTAGCTTCATGCAAGGTACTTCTATTGTTATTATATTTCAATTGCTAAATTTCTATTTTGTTCTTTTTATTATTGAAGCATTTTCTGAAGAAAAAAAGTTCTACTTGTACTTTTAGTGTTAAATGTATTGAGTGTTAGAGCTATTGTTAATTGTTTAGGTCATGGTTGATGCTCAAGGAAGGAGCAAGGGTTCTGGATTCGTGTCGTTTGCTACTGCTGAAGCTGGCCATAGTGCGGTAAGTTGATACTAATTAACTTTTGTTGTAACATTTAGTGTTTGATGTTTCTAAAATCTACTATGGTAAACCACATGTCAGATAAATGGAATGAATGGTAGGATTGTTGGAAAGAAACCGCTTTATGTTGGTTTAGCTCAACCTAAGGAGGAAAGAAGAGCCATGCTAATGGTATGTAACCTTGTGTTTACTATGCGTGGTTTATTTTTCCTTAATAATATTACCCTCACCTTTACATTGTCTCTCTCCTTAATGTGGCTATGTTGTTTTAGATCTTTAGTATTGATTATATACCTTTTATAATTTACACTTTCCCTAGATATTAGTACTCACCTCATCCTCTAAAAATTCTAGAAAGTCGTGATATTTCTATGCCATATCAACGGCATTGTTGTATCATGTATGGTATCTAAAATATATCATATGAGTATTCTCCAAGTACTTTACTGTTGTTGTGTGCGCCCAAAATTTCTTCATGAACAGGAAATTGAGATTGACCTCATTTTGCTAGGCACATTTTGCTCAACGTAACCTGGCAATGGCAGCTTCTCCATACGCCGGACCTCAGCAGGTTTATTTTGGTCACCCTGCATCTGGCCAGATCCCACCTCATGGTGCAGTCTTTGGTTTTCCGCAACACTTCCTTCCAGGAATGGGGACTGTCTCTCCAGTTATGATGCCACACAACATGCAGAGATCAAGGTATCCTGGCCAGAGGACGGGTGGTCCTGGTGCATATCGGCAGCAGCAGGCGGTATGTTCGTTAACGAAAATCATCATATTTAGGATTCATCGGTCTTTTTTATTACCAACAATCATGTGTGGTTTCATCTCTTTTTCAGATGATCCACGCAAATGCCAATCACAGCATCAGGTACATGCCGAATGCCAGACACGGGGCTTACCCTGCAATGCTGCCTCAGGGCTTCCCAAGTGCCATGGTGTCGCAGCAACACGATGGCAGCAGCATGACTCATGCTGTAGCATCTGCTGGACCGGCAGAGCAACAGCAGGTAGTGATGGTTTTATTCACCATTCTGTGTTTGACACATCCACAAATCTTAAAGTGCTTCAATACACCCACAAACGTTCAAGTGCTTATTACAAGTTTCTGAATCGAGTTAGCCATGTCGACCATGAGCTAATTTATAACATTGCTGATATCTCGCGGCAGATTAAGATTTTTGTAGTGCCATTAAAAGTACATCAATGATGCAATCTATGGTAACATGGGCCTTTGTTCTTTTCATCGTGTCTAGATTCTGGGCAACAAGTTGTACGCGATGGTCGAACAGCTCGAGCGTGATCACGCTGGCAAAGTGACCGGAATGCTGCTCGAGATGGACAAGGTAGAGATCCTACAGCTGTTGCAATCTCCGGAGGTTCTCCGGGCCAAAGTCCGTGAAGCCATGGCTGTTCTACAGCGAACCAAAGACGGAGGCTCCGCCGATCCTGCTGCTACAACCGCCAAAGCGGAAGGCTCAGCCGATCCTGCTGCTGCCGCCGCCGCACCAACCGTGAACGCCTGAGCGATTGATGAGCTCGCATGAAAACAATAAAGATTGGTCTGGACACTGGACATGCCTAGGATATGCTAATGTGTAGCTGAACCTCCTTGTCTTGTAGTTGATTTGTTCCAGCTTACTCTTGGTTTATCAGTTATCGAACCGTAGCTTAAACTTACAATGCAATATTTGTCTCCAATTCTTCTTTTTGAATAAAATTAGGCTGCAATGACACTACATACCTGAGATATATGATGCTCAAGCTATACAAGAAGATTGGAGATGCGCAGCCAATGAGCCAAACGCCTACAGTTAAATCTTTTTCAGTTTTTGCTAACCTTGAAACTCAAAGCTGAGGGGTCTGTTTCAAAGAATTCAGTTTATAATTCCCAGTTTAACTACTGCTTGTGTGCTACATAAATGCCAGCACATGTCTGGTGAGTGGGACGAACGCTTAACCTCATGGCGTCGATGCTTAATAGAGCCTGAGATTTACAGGTACCATAAAACAGTCCTGAAAAAGGTCCACATATATATATATAGTAGAGAACACCAACGACCTCTCTTCCGCAACAGAAAACCAGAGGCAGAGTGAAGGTGCATAGAGCTTCATAATTATCATTTGTAGGAACAAAATCACTGTGCCTTTATCTAAGCCTGAGATTTGACACTCAAGCCTAAGCTCTCGCTGCTCGCCCACCCATCCTGCACTTGCATGGAGTACTGCAGGTTCCAGAGTACGTCGTCGATGGAAGGCCGGTCGCTTGGGTTAGCAGCCGTGCAGTTGAGGGCTATCTCGGCGACTGTGCTCAGGGAGTCCACTGCAAAAGTACCATGGATCGCCGGGTCTGCCATGTCTTTCAGCCTATCTGGGTCTTCCGTCAGGGCCTCGCTTAGCTGCAAATCGTCAAGATAAATGAAGTTATAGTAATGTTGGTGGGAAATACAAACTCATTGTTATTCTCTGGAAATGGAGCTTGAGTTTAACCTGAGCTTTCAGGGACTCCAGTTGGCTTTGGGACTCTGTTGGTTTGCCTGTGATCACCTCCAGGAGAATTAGGCCAATCTGGTAGATGTCTTGCTTGTCACCTTGTTCCGCATTGTCAGCACTGGAGAGCAGAAGAATCAGGTGCAGGTTGGTTTATTCAACGCAAAAATTTGTATTACTAATTCGTTCTAGAAATTGATTGGTAACCTAACAAGTAACAACCAATTTTCCTAAAAAAAGTAACAACCAATCACTTGGCTTGTGTTTATTCATATAACTAGATAACGACTAGATACAGTTCTAGTTAATTATGTGGAGATGCCTCTCTCTTTCCACAAGGTAACATGGACAACATACCTGCCAATATCATTATCTTCATGGACAGCAAATGGGGTCTCTGAGAAAATCTGTAAGATAGGAACAGTTACAACTTAGCTATCAGGCAGGCAAATTGTGGAACTTCACCAATCATTTGAACTCACCTTGCCGTTCTTGCTAGTTGATATCATTGGAAGACTGAAGTCATTGATCTTCGATGTGAGGGTCTTGTCGAGCAGGATATTTTCTATGTTGAGATTATTCTGTACGATCCCTGAAGCAGTCACATTATGCAAAAACTGAACCCCTCTCGCAACACCAATGGCAGCAGAAACCCGTTGTGGCCATTTCAGCATTTCACGTTTCCTCCACTCTGTAAAATCAGTCAAAACATAAGTTGGGAGTCATGCAGATATTCAGTTATATAACTACATGCATGACATCGTTCACTGTAAGTACCATACCAGTAAGGTGACTTCTTAAAGATCCATTTGTTACACATTCAGAAATGATGTATACTGAGCTGGCAATATTATGATTCTCCTGATCACTGACAATGCAATGACCAATGATGCTGACCAAATGACGGTGCCGAAGCTTAGAAATAATCTCCATGTATTGGACAAGGCTCTGGGGGGAGTACTTCGGCTTCAGCCTCAAACATCTAACCAGTACTCGTGAACCATCTTGAAGCTGACCATTATAATGCTACAAAAGCGAGGCACATATAAAAGAACCGAAATTAGTCTTCACAATATTTCTAGCATAAAGCTGTACAGCTGATGACAAGGATGTGACAGAAGGGTAAGGCCAACATGGCAACATTAATTGTTGATGCAAAATATCAACATGCGCATAATACCCAGAATAAAATGGACAAAACAGCAATCAATCACTAGGGCTGCAAGCCTGGACATACTATGTGTAAGATACGTCTAACCATAATAATATATGCAAGCGAATTGAGCCTCAAGTTTACTTAGGCCCCGTTTAACACGGTTCCAAACGACTCTGGCTTCTTGCTACAGTGCACGAAGAGCCGCAGCCGGAGCTGGCAAGAGACCCACCAGACGGGGCCTTAGACACTGATAAATACTACTAACTCCATCCCAAAACAAGGGGTCCAGGCTATGCTCACTGTTAGAACAAATTTCAATTTGCTCCCATTTGGATACATGTTTTGTACGTTTAATTAGAAGTTGATAAACCTCCAACCACAAGCTTGAATAATATATCAGTGAAAGGTACTTTTAAATAACCTCCCCAAAGCCTTTGATTATCAAATGTCTAAAGCAGCCAAAATGCAACACAATAGGACAATAATTGGCAGTATACAGTTGTACTCTGCCATGGGCGTCCCTACTGCAGTGGACCATTTGCGAAGTTTATAGCCTAGTATCCTAGCAGAACTAAGCATTGTTTTAAAAAAATTGGTGAAGATGAAAATTTTAAATGTAAACTCACATGACCAGTCCATCACACTACTGAAATAGTGAAATACAGTAAAACATTCTGCAGAGTAAGCAGTACTTCATTTATGATGGACAGTGGAAGAATTATTTGTATATCCATTACTGCATACCTGTGCAAGAGGACTAGCCTTGATTAGGTTGGAGGAACTGAAATTGTCAGTTGCTTCTTGGAGCTCCTCCAGTGTACACTCTCGGTAAACTGGCACTTCCAGCGTATTCACCCTTGCAGCTTGTGATGCATGTCCTGTCAAATTGGACACCATATTAGAATGTGAAATGAAAACTTCAAAAATATTAACATCACTAAATTAAATTTACTGTTAAAGCAATTGTTCATTGTTTTCTTTTCCTTTATTGGTTGATTGACTTTGAAGCCTTTTACTTTCTCAAAGTCATCTCTGAAGTAAGGAATAAAGATCCATCATCCCATGTTTTCAAAACTCAGGGTCTAAGTAAGATCGACATAGTACATCAAGCAAAGTTTCCCAATTCATTGACTAAAGCGAGTAGACTTTATTCACCAAATTAAAAACAAAGGCATATGAAAATGGTTTGATTCTATACTGTTCCTTTGGACCACTAATCATAGATCACTCGTTCATTTCTAGTTATTTGCCCATAACCATGTGCTCCCTTTTCATTTTAAATATACTAGTACAAGCTAAGAATCGCACTAATAACTGAAGAAAAAAGGAACTGAGACGATCAATTCAATTATGCAAATGAATTTCTCTTCTTACTCTTATCAGCAGGAGTAATAATCTTCTGGGTTGCCTTAGCCGGAGCCTTCCATCCATCCGCCTTCTTGGTCGGTGTCGCCGCGGGCGACTTGGGCAGGATGGTCGCCTCCGAACGCTGCTGCCTCCTCGCCCACCTCAGGACCACCACCGTGGCCAGCGCAATCAGCAATGCGGCACCAACGACGCTGCCGGCAATCGCGAGAACCATCCCGATCTCATGGCCCTTCCCCCTCCCCTGCCCTCCTCCTCCGTTCCCCTGCGGGGGCGGCAGCACGGCGGCCAGCGCGCCGGGGTTGCAGTACGAGCTGGCCCGCTGCTGCTTGGCGTCGGCGAAGCAGTTGCCCGCGACGAGGACCGTACGGGCCGAGGAGTTGCCCCGCATGCACGGCGGGCGTGCCCCAGTGAGCAGGTTCGCCGAGACGTCGACGAACGCCAGCGCGTCCGCGCAAGCCGTGGTCGCGGGAAGCTGGCCCGCCAGCCGGTTGCGGGAGAGGTTGATGTACCGCAGCGCCGGGAGCGCGAAGATGGAGGAAGGGATCCAACCCTGCAGCCGGTTTCCGGACGCGTCCAAGTACTGGAGCTGGCCCAGCGAGCTCACCACCCGCGCCGGGATGCTCCCGGTGAAGTTGTTGTCGTCCAGGACCAACCGCACGACCGCCTTCCCCACGTCCGGGAACGCCGGTCCGAGGCGGTTGTGCGACACGTCCAGCTCCTCGAGGAACTGGAGCCCGGCGAGGGACGGCACGGAGCCGTTGAGCCAGTTCCACGACAGCACGAGGCTCTGCAGCGAGTAGAGCCGCGCGACGTCGTCGGGGACGCCGCCGTAGAAGTAGTTGGAGCTGAGGTTGAGCTGCTGCAGCGCCTGGAGCCGGCGGAGCTTGGCGCCCGGGAGCGGGCCCCAGGCGCCGACGCTGACGAGCGAGAGCCGGGCCAGCGCCGGGAGCCGGGTGAGCGTGGTGAAGAGCGCCTCGGAGGAGAAGCTGGCGGGGAGCGCGGCGCGCCAGGCCGCGTCCGGGTCGCGGTCGCCCCGGACCGAGAGCGCCGTGACCTGGCCGCCCTCGCAGGCCACGGCGAGGGATGAAGTTGGCGGCAAAGCGCAGGGGTCCGGCGCCCAGCGCAGCGGCTCGAGAGATGGTGGGTAGAACAGCAGGCGGCGCACCCGGAGCAGCGCCTTGGCCTGCGACGACGCCAGCGGCTGCGGCTGCGCGGCCGCGAGGGTGGCAATGCTGGCGGCGGCGCAGGTGAGCAGCAGGAGGAGGGGCAGGGCGGTGGCGTTCGGAGGGGAAGGCGAGGAGGGAGCCATCGTGTCGTGAGTCTGTGGCACTTGTCACGGCTGTGGACAGGGGTGGCCGGCAATGTCGGACCTAGAGACAGAGGGCGGGAGAGGGAGGGGAAGGTGTCAGTGACTCAGTGGGAGGGAGGAGGGAGGAAGGCGTGGGAGGCAGGTGGTGGAGAGTGGAGTGGAGGTCGCCATGGTCCATGGATGACCGAGTAGTGCTTTCCAACCGAACTTGCAGTGGGGACAGTCGCACTAACATTAGCAGCAGCCTTGCGGCGTGTGGCTATAGGACTCTCTGGCGCGTGGGGCCGCCTGCTCGGGTGGGATACCGGTGGCAGTGAGGCGGTGGGCTGGGCCCACGGAAGACGTGGCGTCGCGGAATGGATGGCCTGCGTGAACGCGTGGTAGTACGGTGGTACCATCGGCGCAGATCCCATCTGGCTGGCCTGACAGCAGAAACGAATGAAGTGGCGGGGCGTTTCACTGGTGTGTGGATCCCTGGTGGTAGTCCGAGACCACATGTCAAGGCCAGGTGGCTGTTGTATTGAAAGTGTCCGGGCCTGCTGTGTGGTCTACTCTACGCAGTGATGGTGATGATAGTAGCGAAAACGATGCGTGGCTCCAACCTCCATGGACGGTGCGGAACACAAGGGCGGGAGCCCGAAGCATGCCGCCGCGTATCATGGCGGCCGGCCGGGCGGCTTGTCCATGGACCATGGCAGCCGCAGGCGGCGAGAATCACAGGAGCACGCGGAATCACGCACGATTCGCAGGAGAAGAGAAGCGCAGCGAGCCATGTCCTCCAAAGTCAGAGCGAGGTGCGACGAGCCGACGGCTCACGACTTGGCCCGCGCAATCACGGCCACGGCCGCTGGATGGAATGAATGCGAAGCACACGTGGCTCGTCGCATCGCGCAGTCCACTCCTCGGCTCGGCACGGCATGGAGTGGAGCGCACCTAACTTCCACGCGACGAGTCAATCGATCGAGTGCTACTACGACTGGGCACTGCCCTGCTCTCCCTCTCCTGTTCATGCTTGGAAGTTGGACTTGGATGGATTGCTATTGCTTCGCTTCTCCTCGTCACCTTTGCCGAAAACCCAAGCTGCGTGCTGCAGCAGCGCATGCTTGGAACGTGGGCCGCCGAGTGCTGGGGTCAAACGCGTCAGACCGGGCGGCTACCGTTGCTTCAGCTTTTGCTTCATGCGCGGCGGATCAGTCGGAGAACTGGCGCGATTTTTGGCAGTAACTGGCCGGCTCGGCGTCGGCGACGACTTGCAATCGGCTGTTACGGGCGACGACAGAGGGTTTGAGTGGATTTGGTGAGAGGCGCATGTGTTCGTTATGCTTCGGGGATGGCGAAAGCCGTAAGATCGTATCAGAGTCCAAATGGATTAGGTTGGTTAACACTTGACGCGGGACTTTACCTGCAAAGTATTGTACAGTAGATTAGACGACGGCTGACATTTTAATCTGGGCTTTAGATTTTTTTATGACATGTCAGCAGTAGAATTAAATACCATAGGATGGTTTTGCACTTAAACTTGGTTCTCATGCATTTTTTTTTCAATCTGGTGACTGGATTCAAATGCATGTCAAAAACACATCCTTCTACATGGCCAAACCATCACCATATCAGCAAACATCAGGTTCAGAAACATTTCAAGCGATAAAATTCTTTGGTTTTGAATACTTGAAATGCCAAAGTAGTCGGATATTTCTATTTGGGAGCTAAAATGTGACTAATTCAAGGACCAAAAATAGACTTCATCCTAGAAAAACCTAGATTAGATGAATATTATGCTTGCTTTTCATTAAGCTAAACGCTCAAGTATGTAACATAAAATAATATCTGGTTGTGAAAGATCTTAAGCTAAATCTTA